ACTTTTAAAACAGGCAACTATCTGTTAATGCTACATGCTCTATATATACCTGAATCTAATACATAATTTCGGTACTAGATTTCCCTAGTTTACTATATAACTTATTTGTTTTTTTATTATTTTAATACCTAAGTACCTGAAAGACTGCTAGAAGACTAGGAAATTATGTATTATTATTTTAAATATTAGAGCAAACGTGTGATGGCTATGCGTCTTTTGAATTATCTGTCGTTTTATGACATACTAACTTTTTGTCCGGTCGGTCAATATCAATAAGGGTATCGATGAATATATGAGTCTAATACACTATGATAGTCCGAAAGTTTAGAAGTCAATTTTGGAGTTACGGTATGCACATTTTTTGTACATGGGAGCAATATATCTACTTATAAGTCATAGATTTCAACGTAGTGTTAAGCTACATGTTTGCATTTTATTTTTTATTTTCGTAGAAAGCATTATGGAACATTTGAATAGTCCAAGTCTTTTTCTAGCCTGGTGGTAGTTCAGCTTACTCTAGCATGACATTCAAAATGCGACGTATTATTTTCAGGTCATTGCTAACTCTACCATTAAATTTATACATTTATACAATTTGTATGATGATTGATAACGCATAAATATAATTTCTAATTTGAATAATAAATTTATATTTCACATAATTAAACAGGGAGACAAAAACAGCCCTTGCTGAGTTTCTTGTCAGTTCTTTTCAGTACAAGGTCTCCCGCCGTAGATTAACTAACCGATGGCGTAGCTTCTAGATATTAATGAGTGCTTGTAATTGGCTTAACTGAATAAATTATTTTGACTTTGAGTTTGAAATATGTCTCCATTGAATCCATTGAAGCACTTCAACTAGAGTCTAGAATAATATTTGTGCGCCACTTCTACAACTTTCTTAGTGGCGTGGGTCTGAAAATGGAAAACATTATATTAATGGCGTACCCTCAACCTGCTTACACAACGGAATGGTTAGACATCGCGCTGATGTCGCCGATTTACACATATTATCGCTTTTAGTGGGCCTCAGAGCTCGGTGTGCAATCATGGATGTCAAGCTACTTTCGCAATGGCCGGTTTTACGATGGGTGGCTAAAAATTTTGTATCTCGAGCTCCTCCTTGTGTGGTGGATCACGGTCTAAATTTCCTATTTCACATGCATAAGGAAAGCCTGTGCCGCAGCAGTGGTGTGGCGGCGACATCTACATGCCTCACATAAAACTAACATATTATAGGAAATAATCAATTGTTTTTTTTTGCGCTGTATCGTAAACGGCAAAATTGACTGCCATGATATTGTTAGCCAAATTGATGTATCAGTGCCATATAACTACCCGCGAAAACCAATTATGAGTATATTTAGTATTCTATACTGTCGAATGAATGTCGGACTCCACTCACCTATACCAAGAATATGTAGAACATACAACGAACTACGAGTATGTGCGAGAAATGCTGGTATTGATGTATTTTGTGATACTTTGTCGTCAACATTTAAACGGAAGTTGTGTAATCTGTGACAAAGACTGTTTTTTGTGTAGTGTTATTAGTATTATTATTTAAACGTTAAATTCTAATTTATTAATTGAGCATTGTTTGGTTAAATGTAATAATTGCAATCTTATTTAATTTAATTTTATTTAATATGTAATATTATAAGTTAAAATTCAATCCTAAAAATTGTATTTGTTAGATCATTATTATGAATGACGTCAACACTTATAATTGTTGTGTTTACAAGTAAACAACCAATATAAAATATGTATATCCATGTATGATTAACGCAATGTTAGTGTTGCTAATAAACAATAAATAAATAAACCACTCGCCTCCTCAAGAGATGGCGCTACCTGCGCTGCGATCACTATAGTATGGAAGCCTACATCTCGCAAGCGAAATTCGGAGGCTAACACTCCATATACATATACAATGCCCGATCAACATCAGTCGCGCCGCGGCCCCCGAGCTACCATCATCCAGCTTGGAGGAAGATCTTCCCTTTTGCCATTCTTACACTGGTGACATTAACAGATTGATGAAGAAGGCCTCACACATTGTTTGTGCGACTAGCTTAGAGTAACCGCCTGCTTGGCTTACCTTCGTATGTTACGAACGCTCGCGCTTAAAGTTAGTAATTTTTTCCTTACTAGTGCGTGCCCGCGACTTTGCCTGTGTGGAAATATTGGTTTCCCCTACAAACTCCTAAGATAAAAACTTGTCCTTTATCCTTTTCGGGAAAGACATAGGGGCGATATAGCGTACTATAAATTTCGTGTACTTTCGATGTTACGCACCATCACTTTGGGATAGTTTGGGGTACAATCGATTCATTACCATGTCGATGGAGCGTTTTCGATAACCGACTGTCGATACAGTGACTCTCGATAATTCGATATTATTATCATCATCATCATCATCAACAGCCTATCTTAGTCCACTGCTGGACATAGGCCTCTCCAAATGCACGCCACTCAGATCGATCTTGGGCTACTCGCATCCAGCTCCTGCCAGCCACCTTGCGCAAATCGTCCTACACTACGTTTGCCTAGACGCGGTCTCCACTCCAGAACTCGTCTACCCCAACGGTTATCGCTTCTTCGGCAAATATGGCCAGCCCACTGCCATTTCAACATATGATATTATTATACACCAACATTATTTCACTTTAAAATGCCACAAGTAGTCCCCGCCTCAACTTCTATTGGCAGCAGCCGCCAATAAAGTAGTCCTTTTCACTCTCATGCATAGAGCAGATAACATCTCGCTCTTCAGCTAAAACATTTTTATATTAATTTCTTTAAAACTGCACTTACGAATGAAATGACACGTTTTTCTTGCCCCTTATAGGTCCCGTGTAATTTGTATACTATCTAAAACTTACATTAAAACAAAAAGGGTAGATACGGTACGCTCACACTAGTGTTGCCCAAATTCAGTCTTGGTCTTGCAGTCTTGGTCTTGTTCTTCCATTTTTGCAAGACCAAGACCAAGAACAAGACCGCGTATTTTTAGCAAGACCAAGACCAAGACTAACCGTGCAAGACTTGAGCAAGAACAAGACTAATCCGGCAAGACTCTTGCGTCATGCAGCTAGGACTTAGCGCTATTGCACGGAGTAGTTAGGTATAAGTTCGGTGTATAGGTACGCTTATGAATTCTATGAGACGCAAAAAACTGTATCAAAGAACATGAAAAACTGGACCTATGCGCATTACGACCAATACCATAAACATACATAGCGAATAAAAAAAAATACATTAAAATCAAACAGAGTGCATGCATAGTTTTGTTTTAACCATCGGCACTTTGATAATGCGGCATCAAAGGTTTTGTACTGACTTCTCAAAGAAATTTTCCGCTTTTCGGAAGTACATGGTAACTAATGATACACGCGCCGGCGGCTTCTATTGAAATCATAATACAACAATCGTTGCCGCAATCGTTAATTTGTTTTTTACATGTTTTAGCACACAGCTTATAAAGAAACAGTTACTCCCATGGAAAACGGCATATAGCTCAGTTGATAACCATGTGGCAGTTGATTTTTCTAATTTCTGATCAAATCTTCAGACATTTATTAATCTTATTGGTCTTTACTATGGCTATGTTAATTCAAGCTCACAATGTTCCAATTATAATACGTTTTTCTAAGATCTAAAGTAAACTTTAATAAATAGCAATAGTCTAATAGGTAATTGCAAGACTTGCAAGACTCTTGCTGCAAGACCAAGACCAGGACCAAGACTGGGAGCGCAAGACCAAGACCAAGACTGGCTAAGTCTCGTCTTGTTCTTGCATTTGGGCAACACTAGCTCACACAAGCATCAAATAAAATATAATCCGACTCAACTACATAAGCAACTCTCACACGCACATACGTGTGTCTGTAAATAAACATTCAATCGAGAGAGCGAGACAAAACTATACGTTTCAACGCAGCGCGAGCGAAATGGCGAATCCGCACGGCTGAGCTGTATTGTTGTCCTTTTCTTGATAACAAAATGGCGATTACGTTTTTGTTTTGAGAAAAAAAGGTGTTTACAGTTTTGCGAATGAAAAGTGTTGCCGAGGCATTTGTTATTTGATTTTGAAGTATTTGTGTTCTTTATAAAAGCATCGTAGGCATTGTTTTATTTTTATAACACAGAATATACGCAATATTGTTATATTGAGTAAACATGCAGCATGCAGATGACCTTTACAGCGTCACCGGGTTTGGGGACGGCGAGATCCTAAGGGGACCTCCAGCCGAGAATTGGCGGGTGCCTCTAGAGGTATTCCAGGAAGATGGCGTCTCCCCACGGGGGGAGTCTCCTCTCCTTCTGGAGCCTCTAGACCACTCGAACCTGAGGAGGTCGGCTAAACTAGCCCTCTAGTTGAGCCGCCCTCGTCTCTGAGACTCGGACCTCGGCTCTAGTTAGCCGTTGTCGTGGGGGACGGGGGAAAACGCCCAGGTACGTACGTGTACCTGGTATAGCGTGTCGTGTAGACCGGGTCTTCGCACTCTTATCCTAAGGGTGCGGTGTCTGCCTAATGCTAAGCTAAGCACGTTTGCTAGCTGTGTATAAAGCGAATTATGGTCACGCATCACAATTTAAGCGAACCACTTTTCAGTCGCGAGTGCCGTATCTTCCATTTTTGTTTTAATCTAAGATCTAAATACACTTATAGGGCTTTTTCTCTAAAAAACAGAAAATATTTACACGGTAGCGAAGTGTAGACGCGGTAAGAGAGCGTTCCCAACTAGATGCAAGTCCGGCAATTACTTATTATGTATTACCAAATTAGAAGCGTGTACCTATATGATGTATTAATTTATAAATAACTATTAAACATCATAGAGTAAGACCCTTTATTATTTACTATCAGTTGCCAACGCGCGCTGCGTTGCCAATCCGCCTCGCACCGGTCGCCGCCGCCGGCGCCGGCCGTGCGACGTTGCCGTCCCGCGTCGACCGTGCACAGCCGGAAACGCAAATCCGGGCCGCAAACGGCACACTGGTCTCCGATACGGCGAAACGCCAACTCGTTCCCGCGCTAATTCACACCAAAAGTATCTTTTAAAATTGAAACCTCCTTGACAGTTTTCATCGATTCTGATTATTTAAAAAGAAGCAGTGTTTTGTTTTGTGTGTGATACTTGAATAGGGGTTGTTGACCTTGTGCTTGGTTTGACATCTGCTGCTTGGTATTGTTGTGATTTGTGAAGGAAGGACGGCGGACGCGACGGCGAGCGACGGATCGTTTAGTTTAACCAGAAACCGGATTGCGCTAGATCCTAGCCGCACATGAAATGGAGAGGTTTGTATCGTGGTATTTCTTTTAATTACACTATAGTAGCTTAGGATTGATGTTTTGAATGATGACACAGTCAATTTTTAATTAAGTTGAGGTTATGCAAATAAATCAATCAAACATTATGTTACCTCAATACATATAAGTAAATATAGATATATACCTACCTACCTTAGTTGTATAAATTAGTAAGCAGGTATGAGGTTATTCCTTTTCTTTCAATAAATATTTATTAAATAAATTAGTCGATTTCGTTGTATTGTATTGTAAAGATTATAATAATCTATCTATCTATCCTTCTTGTGATGAAATGAAAAGGAGATCTTGACACCTCCTTGTCTTTGGTTCGGAGGTTCTACCTCGTTTGGCCGTTTAATATTAGTTTTTTGTTTACATATTGAAAGTTTATTCGTTATTATTGTTCTTTATGTCAAATAAAATAAAATTATTATGCAAATATATCAATAATATTCACTCATTACATTTTAAATAAGTATCTATCTACCTATCACATTTTATGATAATTTTGTTGGCCATTTTATTTAACATTCATAACACCACTGGCTAAAGGGTGCAATTCTTGCTCTTATGCCGTAGCGTTAAGACTCAGACTTGCATGATTGTTTGTTTTCAATGTTATGCTTGATACAGAATGTAGGTATGAGATAAGAGACTATGATGTAGGGTTGCCAATCCTACTTTATAATATAGTATCCCTTAGAGAATGCTCTAAGATAGTATCCTAATATATTAGGGGATCAAATATATACTATGTTTTGTTTAAAGGATAGAGACTTTTTCCAGTAAAATCTTTCTTAAAATAAAAACTGAAGTATTAAGTTATAGAACAGCAAAAATATAATAATTTCAAAAATATAGTGAATATTTTAACCACATACCATATTTTTTTTAATTTTTTGAAGTGAAACTTCTTTATCGGCGTTGGAAAAAAATTTACCGTCACATTTTTCGGTTACGCGTCACATTTTTCCGTTACGCGCCATCTTTTTTTATATTAATAGTTGATAGCTGAATGATCACACTGTCGCCGGCGAGAATTCTCTCTACTCGTTTGTAGCTGAGTGACAATAGTTATTAAAGATAAGACTCGCTCAGCCAAACTCGCATAGCGATACTCGCTCAGCGATACTCGCTCAGCGATACTCGCTCAGCGATCTCAATCGAGCTCGCTCAATATCATCATCAGCCTTATATTGTCCCCAATGGCGGGGGCACAGGCCTTCATATGGATGGAATAGGCAGACTGGGCCGTGACTCACCACGCGGGCCCATTGCGGATTGGTGGGTGCTAACGACTGCAGATGCAGCCGGGACCAACGGCTTAACGTGCCTTCCGAAGCACGGAGGAGCTCGAGATAGTAAATGTTTGGTCACCCATCCAATGACCGACCACTGCGAAAGTTGCTTAACTTCAACGGTCGCAGCCGAACGCGCTAACCACTTGCGTCATCGAGCTCCTCAATCTTATTTTACTCGAACAAGTCTTAAATATTGTACTATGGTAATGAATCATTCGATTGGAATACTAACTGCTAACGACTGCAAACGCAGCCGTGACCAATAGCATAACGTGCCTTGAGAAGCATGGAGGAGCTCTTAAGTTTTTGGTCACCCATCCTAAGACTGACCGTCGCGAAAGATGCTTAACTTCAACGATTGCAGACCGAACGCCCTCACTACTGTGCCATCGAGTCGAGATCCTCATTTTAAGCTGCCTTTACATGTTGCCAAATGAACTCCAATACCAACGTATAGGAACCAATGTATTGGTGGCTTGAGCGTTGTCCGTTCAGTTAGTTACCGCTCTGTATACCCTGTGTGTCCTTATAGTCGGAGAGCCGGCTGTAGACAAGTCTGTGGCTGTATATGGATCAGATACATGAATCATTTTTGGAGTATGAACAATAAAGCCACAGGTCTAGAGGTCGACACCCCTGAAGTTACTTCATTTTGCCCGCATACAAAATTATGATGTCACTTCCGGTTTTTATTTTAGGTGTAATTGTAATTTATCAAATACATAAAAAAAAAATGATTCATGTATCTGATCCATAGGACTTTTTATACAACCGACTCTCGGGCTATCATTAAATGCAATATAAGTCTACCGTGACGGGTTCAACCTAAGGCCTTAACTTAGCCGGATCCGGCACGGTCTAGCTAGTGTGAGTTATCCTTAATTCTGCGATTCTAGCTTTTTTGTTGAAAGAATCTCGACGATTCAATTCATGAAACGATAATTTTACTATGTTCATAGCATTTCAAGCTGATAGAAATGCGCCCAATTCGCGACCAAAGAACGTGCACAAATCGCTGATTCGACATTTTGAAGATCATTCTCTAAAACAATAGCTGAAACAGAAACGTGCTGCTGATTTTTTTTTTACGATATAGTGTTGCTACTTGGGAGGAATATTTGAATGCCTTTTCTTTTCAGTGGCAAAAGGAAGAGTTCCGAGAAGATAGTGGATAAGGAGGACCTCATAATGATGGTCAAAGAGAGGTCCTGCCTGTGGGACAGGTCCAGCATGGCCTACAGGGACCGTGCGGTGAGGGACCGCGCCTGGAACGAGATATACAGGATGGTAGAACCCGACTACGACAAGTTCAGTGAAGAGATGAAGAATCTTATAGGTGAGATTGAGTCGTATTTATTATATTCTGTGTATTCAAATTCTGAAGAATCGCATCAGAAATGAGGTAATCCGACAGAGAACCAGAGTTATCGACATAGCCCATCGGATTAGCAAGTTGAAGTGGCAGTGGGCTGGCCATATTTGCCGAAGAACCGATAACCGTTGGGGTAGACGAGTTCTGGAGTGGAGACCGCGTCTAGGCAAACGTAGTGTAGGACGTCCTCAGGCACGATGGAGTGACGATTTGCGCAAGGCGGCTGGCAGGAGCTGGTTGCGAGTAGCCCAAGATCGATCTGAGTGGCGTGCATTTGGAGAGGCCTATGTCCAGCAGTGGACTATGATAGGCTGTTGATGATGATGATGATGATGAAATGCTGTGTACATGTTTAAATCTAAAGAAACTTAAATGTGATCTACATTACTAATAAATTAATAAATCTTTATTTCTTCTTAATATTTTCAACATTAATAATGTTAATATTTTTTTCAACAATAATTACTATTTCTTCTTTCCAATGATTAATACTATTGAAGGTGTTTTGTTTGTATTGTGGGTTGCCTACCTTGCAGCCTAAGAAATACTGAAAGAAATTCGACACAGTCATTAAGGTCTTGTTAGCATAATTGGTCAGTGCATCGGCCCGGATAGCGGAGGGCGCGGGTTCGAGTCCCGTCTGCTTCCTGGACCGCGGGTTTTTTTTTCTAGTGGGATTTTCTTGAGTCATATTTGTTTGAACTTTATTGCGATTTGAGGCTTGCCATACATGGACTGCTCGAGCAGTTAGTCAGTGACCAACATCAACGGACCGCTCTAGAAGTGAATAGCTCATCATCATCATCATCAGCCTATTAATGTCCACACTGCTGGGGCACACGCCTTCCCTATGGATGGAATAGAAAGATTGGGCCATGACCCACCACGCGGGCCCAGTGCGGATTGGTGGGTGCTAACGACTGCAGATGCAGCCGGGACCAACGGCTTAACGTGCGTTCCGAAGAACGGAGGAGCTCGAGCTAGTAATTTTTGGTCACCCATCCAATGACCGACCACTGCGAAAGTTGCTAAGTTCAACGATCGCAACCGAACGCGCTAACCACTTGCGCCATCGAACTCCTCCAAAACAGTGAACAGCTCAAAGGTGCCAGCCATTTCACCGCGTTCCAACCGCTTAAAGTAGTCAAAACTGCTCGAGCGGTTCCATGTATATATAGAAGACTGCAGTTCACTAATCCGTTCATCCGTTTGTGGCAGGCTTATAAGCTACAGACAGCCACACATCAAGTAACCACAAACTGTCAAATTTTCTCAATATATTGTGGATTTTAAACCGTACTGTCTCAGCCGATTTTGTCTTTCCTCCCGGACAATGATAGAATCGTCATATAATAAGATCCTGCTAAGATCGATTATCACCAAAAATGGAATTGAATTGTGAACTTAAATTATAGTCTGATAAAGCTCCATGTCAGTTGGGGGATATGACAGTTTGGATAACTTGACCTGTGATGTACATGTTGTGTTATGCCTATACATACAAATTTACAAAAATAAATAAATATCTCAATGTGTACATAGTACGTGCGCAGAATGAAACCGAAAACACTTTTTAGTGTCTGTAGTCTCCACTATTGTATAATCTCGACTATCATCTTCACTGTAAACGACAAATTTAACAAGCCGTAAAATTTTCCTTTCGGTCAGACCTTTTACTCACTTTAATGTAGACAAACATCTAGAATAATAGGCTGATGATGATGATGATGATGAAACATCTAGATTTTACCAAGTCTAGGTAAAACACCGCTCTTGGTGCATCAACTGCTTAATAAAATATTGTCCCCAGTGTAGAACCTTGGGGTGTACAATATCTCATATTGTAAATGACGCTTCGGTCATACCGCTACTGACTTTAGCGCAGGCCGTAGAGCAGTTGATTTATACAGCCGATGCACAAAGGCCACGCACCAACTACCAATATCCCGCAAGCCTAAAATACTGCCAGAGATATGAACTCTTCCTATACATAATAACACATACTGCTGTACTCGGAAGCGTTAATTGACTCTAAAGTTTGATCAGATTTGGTGCTGTCACTTTCTTTACGCCAGCAGTATCTTTGAAATGTATATAAGTTAATCGCGGTATCTAAGTTTAGAGTTTTATAAGTGAAAAGATTGAGTAAGAACATTTTCGTACGATGAAAAGCTACTATGTGTTCAACTAGCTTTTGCCCGCGACTTCGTCCGCGTTTTCGTCGTTTTTCGTAAAAAAGTAGCATATGTCCTTCCTCAGGGTTCCGTGGTTTTGATGTGACAGACAGATTAACTTTTGTATTTTAGTAGGGAAATATAATATGTCAATCCACAATACTGTTAAAAATATCGCAATATGGAACCGCAGAATATTATTATTATCACTGTGCCCCGAGACCATCAGCATATCCTTGTATGTTATTATGTTAATGTATTGGTAATATTGTTTAGATCGCTTTCACATGAGGCTTAGGTACATATAGAATGAAAATACTTCACCGCAAAGCTTCCGGGTAAACTACGTTGAAAGTTGACTCATCCGGCACGTGAACATAAAAATTTCTAGGACTGCTAACCCGGGAAAGAGCGACATAACTGACCATGTGAAAAGCAACTGACACCGAGATCTACTCCAGCAACACGAATAGTCTGCCCTTGAGCCATATTTATTGTCATTGCATAACACACCGATACTGGGAATTGCGTTCATAGAATATGGGAATTCTGGGAATAAAGATGGTTTCTCCTGCACCGCAACCTGTTAAAATTTGAGCCTCGATTACATTTTGTTGCAACTGGGTTACTTTAAGCAGAGTTCCATTGCAAATTTGTGGTGGTCTTAAATATCGGAGCAGAATAATCGGAATGCCAATTTTTAAACAAATTTCATGAGAAGGAAGTCCGGGCATATTTAAAGAATTTAAAAATTCTATCGGGTAGTTAGTGGCTTCTTGATCATCGGCCATTCTATTTATTGAACTATAAACTTTGCTTTCCCCCTGGATATTCGACAGTATTTTATTATTAATCTCAGATGCCTGGTCATTGCGAGGAGTTAAAATGGACCTTTCGCATAGCCAAGAATTATCCTTATTTAATATATTTGTTACGTCACCGTAAACTGACGATGTAATATGTTGTTGGGATGGCACTATACAACACAACTCAGGCGTCAGAATAAGTTTTCCTTGGTGTAGCAGTGGATAGGTATCTTTGGTGAAGGTATTTTCTTTAATAATATATCAGAAAATTCACGATCATCCGGGTTATCTACAGTTCTCACTCGCATGTTTATAGTCAAATGCACCGATTGTATATCACGCCACAAATAAGAGCTTTTCAGGCAAGCCCTAACCTCATCAGCTCGGGTTCCCCGTGGTATTACCGGTAAGGTTTGTCGGAAATCACCACAAAATTAAACTGTGATACCGCCCATTGGTCGATCATTTTGTCTTATATCCCTTAAAGTTCTGTATACCGCTTCTACTCCTTTTCGATGGGCCATCGTACATTCATCCCATATGATTAAATTACACTTTAAACGAATATTTAAACACTACCAAAACAACTAATACGTGGTCCTAACTTTAGCTACCTTACACTTAAAATCTAAGTGACTATTTAAACTAAAATATTCTTATAGAATTATAACCAGAAATATATACAACTCACAACAAAAAAGAAATGAAAATAAAGCTGAAACGCCTGTGCAATACTATCTACCTATACCTCTTCACTTAAAAATAAATACTTATAACTACTTTAATTAATAAAAGTACCTACGCTTAATAATTTTTAATTTGAACGAATATCTAAACACTACCAAAACAACTAATATCTATTTTACAAAATAACAACAAAAGAAATTTAAATAAACTATTTAAAGACTAAAAGTCGCGCTGATAAGCACGGTTACTCAGTATTTCTCAATTATTGTCTGTCAATAAGGTCGAACGCTCTGAACGCATCAACAGCCAAATAGTGAAGCTCGCTCGCTCTCCTTTTTTATTTTTTTTGTTTCCTCCCAGACGGGGGAGCAGGTGAGAAATCCTCATGGATACCCTACAGCCGGCTGCAAGGTTATGTCAGACTCGTACTGACTAAAAAACACCCGTAGGGGCTGCCTCTGGCCGGGAAGGCCTCTAAGGCTTCATTGGAAGCGATCGTCCCCCAGGGGGGGGGGGGGAGCGACGCAGAAAACAGATTTAGACAGCTCGCTCTCAGACCTCCCGTATTTTGATACCCTACGCGACCCGTGTCGAGCGCGGCAACCGTTACACAAAAATAATCCTTATAGCATGATTCAGTATTCACGTGCGACGGCGCGATGGCTTATTTCATGTATAAGTTTGGTGTTTCTATACCGATTTCTATGTTTTGTTTTTATTGAATAGGTAATAATGTTAACTTTTTTAAATTAGGGATGAGTCAGAGTATTATAAACGTAAAAGTAAACAAATATGATCAGAATGCTCCGAACTGCTAAGCTATAGGGAGTTACACGTGTTATTGTGAGTCAACCATAAAAGATAGACATATGCTGTTGCGGGATATTTTTTAGACAATTTTATGTAGAATATTTCCGTTATACATGGTTTCTATGTAACTTTAATCATTAAGGCTGCACACGCGACGGAAGCTTAAAAATGGAGTAACTTCTCCCGTTTTCCCAACGTTTCCCTTCACTACTCTGCTCCTATTGATTGTAGCGTGATGAAAAGTATACTATAACCTGCCCAGGAGTATGAAGAATAATTGTACCAAGTTTCGTTAAAATCCGTCGAGTAGTTTTGGTTTCTATAAGGAACATACACACAGACAGACAGACAGACAGACAGACAAAAAATTTACTGATTGCATTTTTGGCATCAGTATCGATCACTTATCACCCCCTGATAGTTATTTTAAAATATATTTCATGTACAGAATTGACATCTCTACAGATTTATTATAAGTATAGATAACTAAGGCCGCATTGATTCATCCACAGTTAAATTTGATTATAGTTAATGTCACATCAAATATATAGTCAATGTGTCAAATTTTGTCAAATAGTTACATTTTTTTTCTCGTATTTTTACTATAGTCAAATTTAACTATAGATGAAACAACGCGGTTTAAGGCATATATTTATTGTTTTACAAATTATTATTATAAGTCAGGTAAATTGCCTCTTCTGTCTATAATAATATATTCCGAAAGATTGATAAATCGGTTAAAATAATAATAAGCCTACATGGTCGAGTCCCGTCTGCTGCCTGGTCCGCGTTCAACTTTTTCTAGTCAAATTTTCTTAAGATTTAAGCCTTTTTTAAGGGTTTAAATTCTACAATTTTATTTTGATTTGCCCTAACAAATCATAGACCATAAGATCTTATATGCCTCCACTGATCGGAAAAAAACACCAAGACACGTGCGAGTCGGACTCCCAAACGAATGATTCGATGGTAAGCATAGTACAATATTTAAGACTTCATCATCAGCCTATTAATGTCCCCACTGATGAAATGAAAATGAAATGAAATGAAAAACATTTATTCGGAACAGACGTGGATACATACAAAAGGTTAAATTTATACACACACACACATACATTATGTACATATATGTATACACATACACATACACATATATACATGTATATATATACACTAAATGACGGACATTAAAAAACATACATTACATATATCCACAGCTGGACCGAAAAGGATCCAGTTCAGCATGAGTCAGTTTGCACTGACGCTGGTTTTCAACTGGTTCCCTTCCTGATTTGTGGATGCCAGACACTATGATACAAGATTAAAGGATTTTATATTAAATAAAAATGAAATATTACAAATTGTACCAGTGAACAAAATAAAAAGTTAAGTGAGTAACATATTCAATAAACTCATCTAAACAGTAAATAACACAATAACATATTTTCAAGGTAAACAAACCATATGAAACACTGACATTTTTTTTTTTTAATTAATTAACATGCTTTCCCTATGGATGGAATAGGGAGATCGGGCCAGGACCCACCATGAGGGTCCAGTGCGGATTGTTGGTTATTTAAGACTTGTTCAAGTAAAATAAATATCATAATATATGGAAGACAGAAGATCCCATTTATTTAATAAACGTTTTTAAATTCAAATAATAAATTATAATGGCGGCCACAGTAATCACGGATTTGGTGAAAATTTCAGATTTCCGTTTCACGTATTTAAGCGTAATGTCGTATCATGAGTTACAGCTCACAAGACAGACTGTCTGTCTGTCTACAGAAGCATATTAATATAGTTCAGTTTGTCACTTATAAATATAACTAACACCATTTAGCATTTCTTCGAGTGTTCAAACTCAAAATTGCTTTTTGCTTAGAAATTTCGGCGCAACAACTATGTAGATGGGAATATCGTGTGCTATTTCATTGGAGGGTTAATCCGAAATTCCACCAAAAGCCAGTTGGATTATGTATGCTTTTGACCAGACAGAGTTAAGCTTTCCTTTGAGATCCGGGGGTCTTAAATCTTAACGTTTGTTGGAAACATCTAAAATATTTTTCATTCATTTTTCATTTCATTAGTAGCAGAATATAATTACTTTTTAATTAGAATGAACAGGCCATTTTAAGCTTAATCCAACAACTCTGTTATAAAAGTTAGCTGCACAACAGTCTCTTATGTAACTTCTTCTAGTATATTTTTTATTTTTTTAAAGCATGTAACTGCTTGATGTTTAAATCTAAAGAAAATATAACTAGAAAAAATTCCACGCGGACCAGGTAGCAGACGGGACTCGAACCCGCACCCTTCGCAATCCGGGCGAATGCACTGACCAATTATGCTACCGCGCGATAAACCGTCAGGTTCGAGTGGTCTAGAGGCTCCAGACAGTGAGGAGACTCCCCCCGTGGGGAGCTGCCATCCGCCTAGAATACCTCTAGAGGCATAAGCCAATTCTCGGCTTGAGGTCCCCTTAATATCTCGCCGTCCCTAATCCCGGTGACGCTGTAAAGGTCACCTGCGACCAACAGCATACACACTCAAAAAAAAGGCCACGCCGCCGCCCCGCCTGCCACATGAGCGAGCGAGATAGAGCGTAGCGAGCGTAGGTACGGTAGGACACGTTTTTCGGTACGGTACGTAGTTGGTGTAGTGAGTGCATACCCATAGAAATTCATACAAAGAATATCAACAGCGCGCGCGGAGCTGGTTCAGTGCCGAGTGCTTCAGGTGCGCTATGACCTTTATTCGTATTCTACGCAACGAATTCTTTGATTTGATTGAAACCCATATTATGGGAGTGCACCATGAGTTCACCAAAGTTTTTGGTCCGCTATATTGGCCCTCCCACCGTATTGGATTTTGAATGGCGTCTTTTACTTGCAAGCATTGTGATCTAAACGAAATGTCTAAGTAAAAATTTTATGCAATCTCTTGAGGATAACTGTACTGAAACTATAAAAAATTTTATAATAAAAAAGCTTTTTAAAATCTACCTGGCTCCGGGATGACCGCCGCAGCAACGAATCTAGCATCCGGCCTATAGTTTATTTATTTAATTTCCCAGATTCGGCCAGGGGTAAGTTGTTTTCGACATTCGCTCATAAATTATTTATTAATAGTGAGTGAGATATCGTTCACGCCAAATTCATTGTTGGCCACTGCGAACAATAGAGGGGCCTTCACACAATTCTCCTTTTTAAATATTCTACATTTCGTTCATTATTAATTGGACATATTTATGTACTTCGTCGCAATTCTGAGATATGGGCTATCCAAGAAAGTCCTTTTCTCAATCTAACATACTGAATAATTGATATTTTATTGATGTGGTTTTCGGAATTACGGTGAAATTCCGACACAGGCCTACTTAGAAGCTTTTTATGAACAATGCTTCTGACAAAAAAAATCTTCGTCTCTATATCATTTCACTTATTTTTAAGGCTTCAACTTGTTCTTTCGCAGGCCTCCAAATAACGAAAAAATGGTATAACATCAGAGATTCATACGTAAAGTCGAAGAAGCTGCAAAGACTACGCCAAAAGCCCTATTTACATTCCAAACTGCTAGGTTTTCTGGACAACAGTTTTAAAAACTTAGATGATTCTGTAGTATATGAAAAGGATGAAAATGAAGAACAATGGCTCGAAGACGTTCTCATAGTGGAAGACGAAATGGACCTTGAACACGAAACTAAAAGATCAAAATTGAATGACGCTGACGAATCAAAGGAGAGTACAGTCGCTAGTGCAGAACATAACATAGTCAACGTACTAGCAAACCTTATTAACAGAGAAGATGACGAAGATAGAGCGTTTTTTACGTCGATAATGCCAGCTGTTAAGAAATTGAGCGAAGACTCCAAGTTCGAATTCAGAATACGAATGATAAATACTTTGAAGAAATTACTCAGGCAAGAAAGATGTTCAGAGACTATGAAATTTAAAGTGTTAGATGAGGATGATGTTGATTAAATTTGTTTTTTTTTAGTAAAAAGTGATATTTTTTTTTGTTTATTCTTACAAAGACATATATATGACTAGCGGCCCGCCCTCGCTTCGCTTCGGTGTAAAGCTGAAGTGTAGACTACAGTTTTTGTTCTCAGGCTTGTATTATACACAATGACATTCATCTATGATTCTTCTTATACCTGCATGCAAAGTCTCAGCCCGCTCGGTTTAAAATTGTCAAAATTTCATACAAATTTTCATTCCCTATTTTATCCCCTTGGGAGTAGAATTGATCAAAATCCTTTCTTAGCCGATGCCTACGTCATAACATCTACATGCATGCCAAATTTCAGCCCGATCCGTCCAGTGGTTTGGGCTGTGCGTTGATAGATCACTATGTCAGTCAGCCACCTTTGAGTTTTATATATATAGATATATGAGATGTAATGTTGATTTTATTAACTTAATATATTCTTTTCTCAAGAACGTCACTGAACCTAAGTTTTACTTAAGAGCTAGTCTAATTAGGGTGAGTGTTCGAAATATTCATTTATAAAATTTACCAGGTCCTGCGATATATTTTCTACCCAGCTATAGCACAAAATTACAATGAGATCCGCAAATTACGTTCACGTTGTGACAAATTACTTACCGTACGTGACTTCAACGTAATTACACAGTATTTGCAGTAATAGGCAGCCGTAAAGCAATTTGGCACTCTATATATATCCAGAAAGTTTTAAAAGAGCGATGGGTAAGTATAATTCTATTTTAGTGAAGTTTTACTGTGGGCAGCATGATTTATAGAATGGTTGTCCAGTATTTAACGATAGATACTATCTCTTATCTATTAGACAAGTCCGTCTGTCTGTGGTGCTGTTTCAGCGGCCAAACCGTAAGAGATAGATAAAGAGAATATTTAAGTTATAAGTTAAGAATAGTCTGATAAGACTACAAACCGGATTTGAGTAACGTAGCACTTCCGGTTTTCGAGAAATCAGGTTTTGGTGAACATTTGGTTCACTGCTTTGCTAGTTTTAGATGTATTTGAAGTAGACCATGTAACAATTTTATGAAATGAAATGAAGTGTTACTGTATTCAAATTGATTTATTAAAAGCTAAAGAAAATATGACTAGAAAAAATTCCACGCGGAACATGCAGCAGACGGGAGTTGAACCCGCAACCTTCGTTCTATCTCTCTCTTTAGAATCTTTAGATTTAAACATCGAGCAGTTACATGCTTAAAAAATAAAAATTATAACTATAATTGCTATTTCTTCTTTCAAATGTTTAATACTTGTAAAAATATTCATTTGTTACATTGTGGGTTACCTATAATGCGAAGTGATGGCGCTGCCTTGCAGCTTAAGAGTGGCTAGAGGAATTTCAACGCGGCCGTCAGGGCCGCGGTAGCATAATTGGTCAGTGCATTTGCCCGGATAGCGAAGGGTGCGGGTTCGAGTCCCGTCTGCTGCCTGGTCCGCGTGGAATTTGTTCTAGTCATATTTTCTTGAGGAGCTCGATGGCGCAAGTGGTAAGCGCGTTTGGCTGCGATCGTTGAACTTAAAACAACTTTCGCAGTGGTCGGTCATTGGATGGGTGACCAAAAATTGCTATCTCGAGCTCCTCCGCGCTTCGGAAGGCACGTTAAGCCGTTGGTCCCGGCTGCATCTGCAGTCGTTAGCACCCGCCAATCCGCACTGGGCCCGCGTGGTGGATCATGGCCCAATCTCCCTATTCCATCCATAGGGAAGGCCTGTGCCGCAGCAGTGGGGACATTAATAGGCTGATGATGATGATGATATTTTCTTTAGATTTAAACATCAAGCAGTTGCATGCTTAAAAAATTATAATTTTTGAAAACTCTTTTGAATCGTCCAATATTTTTTTTCTGCCATCCATTCCGGACGTCTTTTAGCTGATGAGAAGAATAGGAGCAAGAAACTCATCAGCATTTACAGAAGTAGCAACATTTTCAAAAAAACATGTCGCTAACGATACAATTTCCACACATATTTTGATGCTGTGTCAGTTGTTGTCACATGTTGAGGTTACTGGTAATAGCAGAAACACATCAATTGGAAAAGAGATCGTAACAGTATAAAGTCGAACAGTTCGAACAGAACCATTATCGAATTCGTATCGTTTGCGAGTCCGAAATGTCATTGTCAAATGTGTATTGATTTTTAGTTGCCGCTGCTGTTCAAGTTTCCATACAAAATTTGACCATGACATTTCGGTTTGCAAACTATTCGAATTCGATAATGGTTCATGCTAGGGGTACAGTATTCCTTGTGTGAAACTCCCTTTTTAGCGTTCCCTAGTCCTGACGAGGAACCCTTATAGTTTCGTCATGTCCATCTGTCCTTACCCGGTTTTGCTTGGAGACTGTTAGCACTAGAGAGCTGTAATTTTGTGGAGATATGTATATCGATCACGCCGACAAAATGGTAGAATACAATTTTGAAATATATTTTTTTAGGGTTGCTCTTCTACATGTAAGATCCCCTAGCAACCAATTCCCTGGGGATGATATTGTTTTTGATAATGTACCCCATCGTTGAATATGTCCTTTAAAATAACTTAGGGGTTGCTAAGACTATTCTTCGATTAAGGGATCGGTTTGCGAAATATTGAACTTTTAAATGTAAATTTTTGATTGTTCGATTAGGCCTCCCCCCTCTAAAGCTAAACTATTGGCTTGAAAAACCTGGAAAACTTCATGATTCATGAAGAATAAATAATCAACGAATTTATTAACAATATGTGTAAAGAGAAATCCCAAAATAGGAAGAAACAATCTTCAAAACAAATTGAAAAAGTATATGAAAGGGAGTAAGCGCAAGGTTTCTTTCAAAACTATTTTTGAGGCACCCAGTTTTAATATAACTTCTGAAAATTTATGAACAGGTAAAATTAGAACCAGGCCGTTTTATCATTCAAATATTTTTTTACAGTATAATGTCCTTTCTTAAGTAAGCAATTATTAATGTGTATTTTAAATTTGTGAAGAGGCAAATCAAGAATATATTTAGGTGCTAACTCTCCTTATGCGAGATTCTGCAAAATTTTGAACGGCTTTAGTGATAAAATTGATTTACACTTTGATAGCCCCAGTGCAGTAACCTCAGCCATTAGTACGAACTTGACGGACTGAGTGCCCGATATGTTTAGGTTTATTTTTAGACCCTTTAATTTTGTAATGGCCCTTTTTTTGGACAAAATAACATATAAGTTAGGGTATATTAGGTAAAATTTTAACACATACTGTTTGATATAGATATGGTAAATGTGGTGTTTACCTATAATTAATTTTAACATTGATATAATATATCACATATTATGTGTCTCCGTGTCTATAATTATAATTGCTTAAGTGTTACAATTGTTGGTAAGCCTTTTGAATAAATAAATAAATATTAGGAATCTTATTATAGAAATGTACACCTTGACCCACGAAAAATAATGGACACTACCTCGTCATCATCCATAGACTGAACGGCTCAAGTTGTTGCGGTGACGAACCCTTTCTCAGTTGATATATGTATGTCTGCCCCAACCATAATAAATACGTTACAAATTCTTAGGGTAAGCCTGTCTAAAATATTGAACTGTAAGATCGGTGTTGATGTCCAGGACAAGCCATCCTAAGAATCCTGAATTTCAAGTACAGCTGTATATAAAGGAACTATGCGTAGAACGCAAGGGAAAATTTCCCCGCTAGGGAAATGTCTGAATAATAATATGTCTTAGACTTTAAGAGCATTCCCGAAATAATTTCTCTTTGCTCCGTTATATCTTTAGGGACTCAGGATAATACGTACACGATTATGTCTAGAGTTTGTATAGTTTTCTGTTTCGAGTTTTGATCATACCCAATTGGGATTATCTGAGGGTCGCGGATCTACAAAGGATTACTTAGACAATTCGCGAGTTATATGAATAGTTGATTATGAATGAATCGTTTAAATGTATGGTTTAAAGTAGGGACACGATATCGAATAGAAAGTATCGATACTGTACTCATGAGTAGTATCGGAAAATAAGTATCGTACTCGTAAAAGTATTGAAACAAAAGTATCGATACTTCGAAGTATCGAGTACATTTCATAGGGCCTTATGTGCTTCCAATTATATCAACGCAATGGAATGTTTTAGAAGGTTTGCTTTGATTCCACTAGATGGCGTTGCCATCAATATAAGGCGCTTACCCAAATTTTTAAAGGTATCGATACTTGCCAAAAAGTACTCATTTAGTTAATGTATGGAAAACCAAGTATCGAGTACAAAAGTATCGGTATCGAAAGGAAAAGTACTCGATACCACAAAGTATCGATACTTTTTTCGTGACCCTAGTTTAAAGTAGTTCTTGTTTTTATTTCTATTGCATATATTTTTTGTCTTAAGCTAACCTAATCACTGAATTTCAATATTCCATTTTTGAACATTATTGTGATATGTGTATTAGGGGCTGTTCAAGTATTACGTAAGCACTATAGGGGGGCAGGGGGGTCTTTGCTTTGCTTATTTTTGATGACTGTTAATTGGAATTAATATGTATACCAAAAATTCGGAAGAAGTTTGTTTTGTTCGTAATAGTATTTAATATGATTATAATATTTGTACCTCACTCTATATTGAATACTGTGTCAATTAAATTTGTTTAAATGAATACTATGTGCATGAAAGTCTTCTATCCTAAGCCTATTTAAGTACTGCTGCTCATGAAGCTCATGAAAGCTCATAAATGAATAAAAAAACAGAAAACATTAAAGGAAAAATGCATACAGAGGTACCAATGTTTACGTAAGCACGGGGGGGGGGGGTATGAGCTTTGCTTACTTTTGCTGACAAGGGGGAGGAGGGGGTAAATAATTGTAGTCAATCTGCTTACGTAATACTTGAACGGCCCCTTACTGGCAGCTTTGAAGAAAACACAAAGAAGAAGATCCAAATAGTACGAACATTGTACAACGATCCAATAGTACAGCTTCAACAGTCTTTACAATATTAACGATATACTTAAAAAATATTTTGCTATATCCGGTTAGGGCAAAGTTTAGTTTAAG